GCGATAGGACTCAAACCCAGGGCCTCACGTGGTAGCAGCTCCAGTCCCAGTCCCTATTCTTTGCTTTAGCCTGACAGATTGCACAGAAACTCGTCTTTAGATGTGCTAGCACACAGGATGTTTACCTTCATGGGGAAGGTCCTTGATTACCTTTCATGGTTCTTCTGTTTGTCTGTTATACTAAACTACTGTACCTGAGTTAATTGTGGTAATTTAGAAAAACATGTAGTCCATTTAGCAAAGTTTCACATTTTTGGGGGCAAAATTATGTTACATTATTTTTAATGCCAGTTAAGCTTTACTTCCAGACTTACCCAAAAACTTTCTCACCAAAGAATTAGGTATTAGTTTTCACTAAACTATATTTCCTAATTCACTCACTTCTGCTTGTACCTTTATATCTGCTAGATCTTTTTATTAAAATCTTATTGCTAGTATACTAGGAAACCTATTATGTGGATGAATAATATAAAATGATGTGATAAAGGCCTAAACTATATACTACTATAATTATCAATATACACAAACTCTGGAGGGTATTAAGTGTGTATGTAACTATCTTTGATGAAAGACAAACACAAAACTAAGAGAAAGCTAAGTGAGGGGTGGTAGCATATGTCTGTAATTTCAGGACTCTGGGTGGCTGGTGCAGAAGGTTTATAAGTTTAAGCCCAGCCCAGCCAATTTAGCAAGAGCCTGTCTCAAAACTGAATATACAAAAAAGGACTGCAGATGTAGCTCAGTGTATACGCCCTGTATTCACTCCCTTTCCTATACACACAAAAAGATATGACGAATGTGATCAAAGCAATGTTCATGGAAATGCAATTTGATTTTTCTAGAATTTTATTATAGAGGCCTGGGTAAAATGTTGCATATTTTGTTATTTGTTTCATATTTCCAAGTAGATAAGTTTATACTTAGACAGGGAAGAAGATGGTGGCTAGGTAGCTGGGTGGATAGCCTCTCTGGGAAAAACAACTCAGATGCTGGAATTTGACAACATGGAGAGGGCCGGACGAGTAGAGAGGAATTCTCATGACCCCAGGAGGAAATCGAAGGAAAAAGAAAAATAGGAAGAGGAAGGAAAAATGCGGGTGGAGGGCTGGAGCTGGATACGCTCACTGAGGCCCATCCTGCACTGTGCTGGGCGCACTGTGGAGTCGGGCAACTCAAGGTCACACTGAAGCCATGGCCGCTGATAACAGGAATTGAGTTCCAGGCCCTTGTCAGGAGGACACAGCACATCATGGAGTGGAGCCAAGATGGAGAGCTGCATTAATTCTCGGTAAGTGCTGGAAATTGGGTCCCGTGGTGGGTGTGGCTGGCTGGAAGACATCTTGGAGGGGGGCAGAGCCTGGCGCTATGGTGGCATCAGTCAGCCACCCCTGGCCCAGAGAGGACTGGTGGGATCCACTTGGGCTAAGTCACACCCCTGGTCGGGACCCAACAGTTAGGGATTAAACTGTGTCGACCCTTGTGACATCCGCCACAGCACAGCCTAAGTAGCTGAAGGCACTTGCTGATTGACTGGCTCAGAGGAGAGGGGCCAGCCCACATCATCCCTGCATGCATCTCAGATAACAGCAAACTGGAGAAGGCAGCAAAGCCCCAGCCAACATGCTTCAGAAAAACCGTAAGCAATACAGAGAGGGTCTGAGACCTCTACCACACACCTGTCTGAAAGAAACCAGAAACATGATGAGAGAAAATAAGAGAAAACCTCCAACTGTTGACTCTGGGAAAATAAGCCAAGGAGAGGTAAATACAGCAGAGAACCAATGCAATCATGCAATATTAGCCACTGCATCAGCAGACATAAAGAAATCCTTCGTGACCTCATAGACAAACTTAAAACTGAAATTCTAATCCAAGTGAGGCAAGATATAAAAATATTAATTAAAGAAATGCTATGCCCCTCTCAAGAAGACACAGATGGAAGAATGGAGGAACCCAGAAAAGGAAGAGAAACCTTTGATGAAGAATGTAAAAAAAAAAATCTAGAATACATGAACCAGAGCCAAAGAGATTACCAGGAAATTAAAAACTCCCTTGAAAGCTGGCAAAATGCCTTGACAGAAACTAAAGGTAGCCTTTTGAAAACTTGAAGAGAGATTTACAATGTGTGATTGTGAAAGAAAAGATCTCTTAAAAATAACAAAATAACAAGGAACCAGGAAGTAGCAATTCAAAGGCTAGAAGACAAGAGGATCTATAACTTAAAAATAAAAAATGTGAGCAAAGAAGTAGCAGTAACCACAAATGAATTACAAAGACTATTCACAGAAATAATTAAGGAAAACTTCCCAAGCATAGAAAAAAGAAATGATATCCAGATAAATGAGGCATACAGAACTACAACCAACTACAACCAAAACAGATCTACACTCAGACATATAATAATCAAGATCCCAGAAATCCACCACAAGAACAGAATATTAAAAGTGTCCAGAGAAAAGAAGCAGATCACCTACAAAGGAAAAATCATCAAAATAACGACAGACTTATCAACACAAACTCTCAAATCAAGAAGAGCCTGGGGGGAAATAGTCCAAGCCCTGAAAGAAAATAGCCTCCAACCCAGATTGATGTACGCTGAAAAACTCTCAAAGTTAATGGAGAAATAAGATGTTTCCAAGACAAGGAGGAACTGTGGGAGTTCATGGCCACCAATCCAACCCTACAAAAAATACTGAAGGACATTTGAGAGAGAGACAGAAAAAAATGCCAGGATTCCAGCAACAGTGGCAGAGAGGCCTCAATGAACAGGGCAGACAGTGGAATGAAGGAAAAAGTGGACAAATAATAGCAGAAGAATAGAATAGCAGAGATGAGGCAGAGAAGTGGGCTATGATTTTTTAATATAGATAGCCTTGATACACTAATAAAAAGAAACATAGGCAGAGTAATTAGAAGGCAGGATCCATCAAGATGCTCTGAATAGGAAATATACTCAACCTGAACGAGAGTTAATAAACTGAAAGTCAAAGATGAGAAAATGATGCTCTATGTGACAGGGAACCAGAGAGAAATAGGGACAACTCGTCCAGCAGCTGCAGATATGTTAGAAAGGTATGATACTTTTGTGCAATGTAGAACTACACATCTAGAAGGAAGGAAAACCTTGTGGCTTTAATAAGTAAAGGAGTACAGCTCAAGATCTAGCTCAGGGGTAAAAAGGTTCAGCACCACTCAGATAACAGGTTGACGCCCTAATCTAAAAACTAAAGGAGCCAGTGGGACCCAAAATATACAAAGCATCCTGAGAAATGGAAAGGTGAGGAATTGCCTAAAAAAGGCAGGCAGAGGACATTGTTAATCACTGTAAATAGTGCATCAGGATTTATAAGTCACAGTAGTCTTATCACTTTGTTTAGTTTGATTTTATTTTGTTTTGGTCTGTCTATTCATACTAGATTTGAGGGCACAGAGGGCTATCCCCAAAATAGCAGGCTATACCTTGGTAACTATCCTTAATTTCCTATTAAACTGAAGCCCTGTATTACTAACATTGTCTTACTATGACTGATCTTATTTGAAGCTGGTTTGTTAGACCACTGTTTTGCCTTGACTGATTTTTTTTTGAATTTGGTATGCTGGATAGTATCAAGTCTTAAGAGTAGAGGCAGCTACTGTGAAGATGACAAGATGTATTAAGATACTCATTCCGGTTTGATTATTAACTGCTTTTGAAGTCCTATAATGTCTCCAAAGTTGTGTTATTAAAGTTGAAGTCCTATAATGTCTCCAAAGTTGTGTTATTAAAATACCTATGTAATCTCTGATATGAACAATTCTATTGAAAAAATAAGAGAAAGCATAGATCACATAATAGTAGTAGATCACCTAAAAGTGTGGTTTTATGTCTTTTTCATTTCACATTTTTCTAGGAGTTTGTTTTGTTGTCTTGTTATGATCTGTTTTTCCCTGTAATACAGAAAGCATATATATACATGTAGAGATTCACATATGGGGAGAATTTCTAAACAGTTTACGGGAACAGATTATATAATGCATGATGTAATGAACAGATACTCTGAAGAGGAGACACTACGAAACCCAGTGCTAATTCTGTAGGATTATGATATAAAATCTAGCAATACTATTACTCACTGTTCAGACTGATATTCGTCTAGTCTCTAATGTTCAATTTCAGCATATGTAAAGATAAGGACAGCTACTATGAAGAGAATGAGAGACATTATGGAGTGATTACTGACTTCCCCAATGTCAGGTCTTGAAGACCTGAAAAGCCTTCATCATCCTGTTATGACTAGATTAGTTCTATAATGTTCAGTATGTATTCAATGTGTGTGAAGATGGGGACAACTATTTGGAATAAAACTAGAGACAATAAGATAGACAGTGAAGATCTCCAGTGGACTTGCTTTGAAATCCGTGTTTCTTAAAATTGTTTCCTTATGATATGTTTTGTTCTGTTTAATCTTGCTTTCTTTAAATAAAAAAGTATACTTGTACTACACAGAAAAACAAAGATTAACTTGTATTTTTGTTGTAGAAATTGACATTTATTTTTAACGGTTATCTTTTTGACTGCTATGACATCTGAACAAGTGTTAAATTCTTTTAAAGACTAACTTTAGTACAACAACATTATAGGAGATAATTTTTTAAAAAGATTTCTCATTTATTTGGTTTCTGAGATAGGTCTCCCTATGTAGTCCAGGCTGGCCTCAAACTCACAATCCTCCTGCCTCAGCCTCCTGAGTGCTGGGATTGCAGGCCTATGCCACCACATTCAGCCTTAGAGTTTTATGTTTTTTAATTAAAGACACTTTAAGTAAAAGAAAATCTTCTGCTAGGTACTAAATATCCACAAAAAATTTCAAATGAAGTTGAAATACTTTTAAGAAGTATAAATATTGAATTCTACATTTTAAAACACCGTCAGTCAAGTCTCTCCATATTGACAGTATGTTTCAGCACTTCCATCTTGAATAGCATATACTTCTAAAAAACTTTTAGTTCTGAAAAGTAAGCAGAAGAAAATGTATGAAATTGTAAGAAATGTAACATTGTTTTGAAACTTTGTGATGAAATGTAGCACATATAATTTACTATCTTAACCATTTGTCAGTGCGCAGTTCAGTAGTGTTAACTATATTCACATCATTGTGCACTCTGTACTTTGCCTTTTGCAGAATTGAAACTGTGTCCCCATTAACAATAATCCCCCTTCTCTTGCATCCCTCCAGCCTTGGTTAACCACTGTTCTGTTTCTATGAATCTCCTTACTTTAAGCACCTTGTAAGTAGACTCATACAGTATTTGCCTTTTTTGTAACTAGGTTACTTCTTCAGCATAAAGTCCTCAAGGTCTACCCATGTATTATGTGGCAGAATTTTCTTTTTCAGTACCAGGGATCAAACTCACTACTGCGTGCTTGCAGGTGCTTATGTGTTGAGCTAAATCCCCAGCCCCCATTTTCTTCCTTTTAAAGGCTGGATGATATTCCACTGTCTTTACAATCCCACAAAAGTGGCTCAGGGACCCAACTTCTTCACGTGCTTGCCAACATTTGTTAGTTTTTGGACATAAACCATCTTTAACCAAAGTGAGTTGACATGTCACTGTGGCTTTTATTTAGGGTCTCTAACAATCGGTGATGTTGAACATTTTTTCATGTGTTAGCGTCACTTGTATTATCATCATTGGAGAAATGTGCATTTAAATTCTTTGCCCATCTTTTAATCAAGCTGTTTTGTCTTTTATGGTTGTGTTGTAAAGTTCTGTATATCTTTTGGACATTAACCTCTAATCAGACATGACTTGCAGTATTTCTCCCATTCCCCTGGAAGTCTTTTCATTTTCTTAGTTGATGCAAAAATGTTGAAATGCTTGATACAGGTCCATTTGTCTACTTTTGCTTTTTGGTGTCTTATCTAAGAAGTTATTGCCAGGTCCAACATCAAGTTTTTCTTGTATGTTTTCTTCTCGAGTTTTATGTCTTGGGTCTTAGATTTAGGCCTTTTCTCCATCTTGTGTTAATTTTTGCTAATGTTAAAGTCCAACCTCATTCTTTTCAGTGTGGATGCCGGTTTCTCCCATATCATATGTTGAAAGGACTGCCTTCCTCTCACTGAGTAACTTTGGCACCCTTGTCAAAATCATTTGATCTCATATGCAAGTGCTTATGTCTAGATGGCTTCTATTCCACAGGTCTATAAGCCTATCTCTATGCCAGCACCAGAGGTATAATTACTATCACTTTATACAATATTTTAGTATCAGGAGGTATCAGTTCTCCAACCGCAGTTCTTTTTGAGACGTAGTCTCATGAAATTGCCCAGGATGGCTTCAATGTGTCAATTCTCTTACCTCAGCCACTCAAAGAGGCTGAGACTCCAAGGGCATACCACCATGCATGGGCAGCCATGTTCTTTTTTTATAAGAGCAGAATATATTTATTGAGAGAAAGAAAGCTTCTTTCTAAGAGATAAGACAGAAGAGGTCCCAAGTGGGTTGCCCAGCAACCATGTTCTTTTCTTTTTTTTTCTAGAAGTCACCAACAGGGAACCAATGTTCTTTTCTTAAAACTGTTTTGGATATTTAGTATCCTTTGAGATTCTATATGAATTCTGGGATAAAATTTTTCCATTTTTGCAAGTAAAAAAAAAGTGACTGGGATTTTGAAAGAAACTGCACTGTACCCATAGATTGCTCTGGATAGTACTGGCATTTTAACAATAGTAAGTCTTGAAGCCAGGCATGGTGGTATATGCCTGTGATCTCAGCACTTGGGAGGCTGAGGCAGGAGGATCATTGTGAGTTTGAGACCAGCCTGGGCTACAAAGTGAGCTCAAAGCCAGCCTACACTGCATAGTGAGACCCTGTCTCTAAAAGACAAAAGATAAAAAAAAAAAAAAGAAAAATAAAAAACAATAGTAAGCTTACAATCCATAAAAATGGTTTGTCCCAAAAGCCAGACAAACTGAAGGCATATTAGAAGAGGGTCCATGGTGAGTAATTCTACATAACTGCATGATTTAAACAACCTGGAAAGACTTGGGCAAGCAAAATGATAACAGCAGGCAGGGATCTACAAGTAATTCTGATACAGAAAGCAATGAAGAAACAAAGTTCATAATTCAAAAAGTTTTACTGAGTTTGGTGTTTCCTTCTTATGTGTAATCTTTGTTAAAATTACATTTTCAATCCTAAGTGGGTACAGTGACCCATTCCTGTAATTCCAGAAACTCAAGAAGTTGGGGCAGAATTACAAATTTGAGGCCAGCCTGAAATACAGTGAAACCCTGTCTCAAAATAAAATTTAAAAGAAGGCTGGTGTAGTCCAGTGATAAAGCAAACTTGGGGTCAAAGCATAATACCACATACACACACAAATTCTATTTCCAAATCCTTGTGTAACTGTAAGCATTTCCCTTTAAAATACTTGTAAAAAGAGTTGCTTGACCAGGAATACAGGATTATTACATGTTTACAGATAGATATTTTCTACTACTGTGTAGTTTTCTATTAGAATTTTTAGAAATGCTATACAATATTAACTCAGAATTAAAGCAAACTCTCTGAACTTTTAGAAAAAGGTTATATTTTATCTTTGTTCTCAAAGTTTCCTAGTTTTCAGTACACAAATCTTTATTACCGGCTTATTTAAGAATGTTTTAGTCTCTTTTTTTATCTGTCTTTTTTATACAGGGCTTAGCTATATAGTTCAGGCTGGCCTTGAACTCCCTTTGTATCCCTGGTTGGCCTTGAATTTGCAGCAATCCTCCTGTCTCAGCCTCCCAAGTGCTGGGATTACAGGCATGGACCACCGTGCATGGCCAAGTGTTTTATTCTTTTTGATATTGCAAATATAACTGTTTTCTTAAAATCTTGTCAAACTGTTTCTTGTTAGTGTATAGGAATACAATGAATTTTTTGAGATGTATTTTTTATTTTCCTTTCTTTTTATTAGTATATTTGTGTATGCAAAAAATACATTCATGGTGGGGAATTGGTACTTACACATACTGCATCTTCATCTTTTTAATATTCCTGTCCTTTCCCCTCCCGATAAATGCAACTAATTTGTATTTGAGTTCTGTATCCCTCATCTTGATGAATTTTTATGGAATCTTCTGCTTTCTACCTACATGTAAGCTCATGTCCTCTGATCTTCTGTTCCAAGTTTGGTGTCTTTCTCTTGCCTGACTACTCCAGTTAGAACTCCCAATATTATGGAGACAAGTGGTGTTCAGCTCCTTTCAGTCTTTTATGTTTTTGTTTGTGTTGAGGTTAGGTCTTGTTATGTAGCCCAAGAAGGGCTTTAATTTATGATCCACCTGTCTCAAGTCTCCTGAGTGCTGGCCACAGACCTATTTTTCAACATGAAAGTATTATAAATTTTGTCAATTTTTCTCTGTATAATTGAAAAAAATTCAGGTGTTTTTTTTCTGAAATCTATTAATGTGATGTATTTCATCAATTTTTGTATGTAGAGCAATCTGTGCGACCCTACTTAGTCAAAATACATAATGTTTTTTAACTTGATATTGTTTGCTAGTACTTTGAATCTTTTTGCATCATTATTAAAGGATACTGTTCCACAATTTTTCTTAGTCTTTGGTTTTAGTGACAGTAGAGGCCCACCACGGTGAGTCTGATGTGTTCCTTCTTTAATATTCTGAAAAAAAATTAAGGGGATTGTTGTACATTTTTAAATGTTTGGCAAGATTCACCTGTGTCTAACAGGCTAATGCTGGCTTCTCCTTTGTGGGAAAGTTTCATCACTGATTCAACCTTCCTACTAGTTATAGGCCTGCCTAGATTTTATGTTTTTTTAATGATTCAATCTTGGTCGGTTATTCCTGGTTGTCAATATTTTCAAATGCTAAAAATTAAAGACAGATACAAATCAAGCACCTGAGTCTAGGATTTCAAGCCAGGCCTGACCTTTTTTTGTTTGTTTTTTTGGAACCAGGGATCAAACTCACGACCTCGTGCTTGCCAGGGAGGCACTTATGCCTCAGAGCTAAATCCCCAGCCCCTCTTTTCTTATTTTCTATTTCTTCATACGAGATGCACTACATGATTTCCTTTGATGTTATGACAATTCTTTTCAGCTGTTTTACTTCTTTTGAGTTAAATTTCAGTACTTATTTCTAGTTTTTTTGTTATTTTTTATTTTTTCATCATAAACCAATTACAACACTTTTTTTTCTTTTTAACTCTTCAAATATACTACAAAGGCACTTTTTTTTGGTCATCTCTACAAATCCTTAGCGCTAATAAATTTGATGATGTGCTATTTTCATAGGTAGCACAGTTATCCTATGTATGAAGATCATCTGTTTGATTTTTAAAAACAGCATCTTAACATGAGGCTTCTTAGGTCTGAATTTAGCTCACAGAGTTCTTCCAGGTTATTCTCCTCCCTCCTCACTCTTTCCAGCCCAGGTAACTCTGCTTCAGTGCTCCATCATTGGGGTCCATAAATGAAATTTTTTTTTTTTGATCTCACTATGTTGTGAAGGCTGGCCTTGCATTCACTATGTAGACTAGCCTGGCCTTAAACTCATGACGATCCTCCTGCCTCAGTCTCCTGAGTGTGGTGGTATTACAGGCATGTACCACCAAACCCAACTATAAGTAGTTTTTATTATGTAAATGTTTTATGATGGAAAAAGTTTTTTTTTTACAGATACAGAACAATACAGTGATCCCTCATACATCACTCACTCTTGGAAAAATATAAATAAAACATTTAACCTAGCATTTCATTGAGTTTAAAATATTTAAAATGGAAGAAGGGTTTCCTTAGCTCAGCCCACTGTCCCACTGGGAAGATTTTTGTTTTTAACACTTAACACATGTTAGAAATGGTTCACATGTCCTTTAACAGCTGTGGAGCACATAATGCACTGGTTTATTCATCCAGTCCCCAAGAAGTCATTCTGGTTGGTTGGTTGGTTGGTTTTTTGAGACAGGGTCTCCCTATGCAGTTCAGGCTGGCCTCAAACTCACAGCAATGCTTTTTCCTCTCAAGTTCTGGGATGACAGGCATACGCTATTTATCTATGATAAATCTTGAATACACAAATATATTTATAGACTATATTACTAGAAAGGATTAAGGACTGGATCAAAATATGTATTTATCACTCATACATTACTAAGTTGCTCCAAGGAAGTACTACCTCCACCAATTTCATTATACTCTTAATGAACTTTCTGTGCAACTTAATATGTATTTGTAACTAATTTAGTACTTCTTTTTGTTATTTTTTTTGAGACAGGGTCTTACTATGTGGTTCAGGATGGGCCTGAACTCACTATGTGGCCCAGGCTGGCCTCGAACTTACCCAATCCTCCTGCCTCAGCCTACTGAGTGCTGGGATTATACGTATGCACCATCATGCCTGGCAGTACTTCTAATTCCAAAGCTATATTAAATAGAATCCTGGCAATGGGTAAAACAGAAACGCCTAATAATTTATTTGGTTAAACGTTCTTAGGGATAATGCTGAGTATAATAACACTAACAAAGCCTTATTTTAAAAGGCAGAAGTCTAGCAGTATAAGGTGGTACACATCTGTAATTTCAGCTATTCAGGATAGTTATGCAGGAGGACCCCAAAACCAAGGCCAGTTTGGGCAATTTAGCAAGACTCTGTCTCAGAAACCAAACCAAACCAAACCAAACCAAAAGAAAAACAAAAGCAGGTAGCTCAGCATTCCCTTGGTTCAATAATCCCCAGAATGGCCAAACAAACAGAAAATTGTTATAACAACATTACCTCTAGTAGGCTGATGCCACTCTTCAATGTAAAATACTAATAAAACTTCTGGGGCTTTCCTTGAAGTCTTCCTATTTTTTTTTCCACTTCTCTTTTCAGTTTATTTGCTCTGTATCTCTCAGCCATTGAAACAAGCTCTTCTGGAATGCTCTAAAATTAGTAAATGCATTATCAGGAGTCTAATGTCTTTCTTTTCTACAATATGCTAAAATACCTCCAAATCATTTTCTGAGAATCTGCAAAACACATTCCAATACATCTTTCAAACAGAATGAAATGTGTCTCTGCCTACTGTTTCCTAAGTCCATTTTCAGGCTACAGAGCTAGACTGATCTGAAAAATCTCCGTCATGCTGCTCCCCCCAGTCATGCCACCCTCCAGCTGGCTGCTGGTGCCCTCCACATGCCTTCTTCCTGGTACCGTTTTCTACAAGCCTGGGCCTGATGGTGTCCCCCGCTGGACTGCTGCCCCGTCTAGACTCCCTTCCGTTCACTGCCTTCCTCCTCAGCAGGGCTTTCACTACGTACTCTAGAACAGCTCCCTAGCTATGTGTTCCTGAAGCCCCTCATCCTTTCCATGCTGTAGTCCTCAAAACCTGTTTTAAAAACTTATTTCTATGCATTTTTTGATCAGCAGTATATGCCTGTACCTGCGTAATATGACTGGATAATAGTTTCTGAGGAGTTGCATGTTCTCACCTGATTTGCTCTTTCCAGAATATTAATCAGTTCAGTGGCAACCCTCCAATCATTTCTTGTGATAAGTGTAATTGACATGCCGGTCCTCCTTTAAAGGGGGAAAATGGGGTCACAACTCACAGAATTTCTGTTATATATAGCACTTGTATTTAACATATACACATCCTCCTGTATGATTTATTTAGTTGCAAAATTTTACCGGTACAGTTTAGGTATACATAATGATCACATTGATCATATGGAATTGTGCATCTGTATGTGAAATATCTTGTTGCTTCTTTTTTCTCATTTCTCTATAACCCCTCTATATTTACAAAAGCTCTGTTTCCATTTTTTTCCTTCTATTATTTTTTCTTGTCCCTTTTTACTTCCTTCCTTTTTTTTTTTTGTACCAGGGATCAAGCTCATGATCTTGTGCTTGTCAGGCAGGTGCTGTGCCATTGAGTTTTATCCCTGGTTTCCCTTCTCATTTGAACATTTTCTTCCCATTTCCCAATATCTGTGATACATTTTGGGCCTCATTCCTGTATAATTTAAGTCATAAATTACTTTTTTTTTTTTTTTTTTGTCTTTTTTCTTTTTATCGGTACCGGGGATCGAACTCAGGACTGCCTGCTTTCAAGGCAGGCACTTATGCCGCTGAGCTAAACCCCCAGCCCCTTAAGTCATAAATTACTTATATTACCTAATACAGTGCAAATGCCTTGTAAACAGTTGTTAAACTCCATAGTTTAGGAGTGAAAATAAGTCTACATATTTGTAATAGACACAGTATTTCTGTCTGGGGCCAGTCTGGAGCTTTTCATTTACCCCGAGGGTCAGAGGGCTGCCTGATGCTATGCTCTGTAGTTGTGTTGAACCACATCAGGGGTTATGACAGGAGGAGAAAAGGTCCTTATCGCACCTGTGCCAATTCAGAAAACTTGGCAACAACAAAGTAATCACTGGGTACAGCTTGGTAGTGTACCATGATAAAACTGGACCAGAACCAAGAGATGGGTGGGAGGGAAGGGAATTGGGATGAAAAATGAACTAAGGTGCATTAGGTACATGTACTGGGTCTTCACAAGGAATGCAGACATTAGGTACGAAGACGTTCTAAGAAAACAATTATACCACTGGTACCACAAACATTACAAGAAGCTAATCGTAATGGGATCTAGTTAAATCTGGAACAGGCCAGATAAACTAAGGTAAAGAAGCCTAGTGGATTCTGAGGAACAACTGAAAACTTATCAGCAAGAGAACAAAAATGATTTTCTGGCCAAGAGCAGTCTTGAGGGAAGAATGAGAATTCAGCAGTGGGCTTCTTCGAGGGTCGACCACACTTACTTACCCTGCTCTTCCAGTGCGCCCTACTCTGTGTACATATTCTTCAATGTTCCGTGGAAAATCATAATTATAGACATGTGTAATATCGTGGACATCAAGACCTCGAGACGCCAAGTCGGTAGCAATGAGTATTCTCACTTTACCTGGACAGTAAAGGCAAATAAATACTGAATCATTATGGTACAAACTGGGTCAACACAAATATGAAAAGGAGATTCACCCTTACTGTTTTATCAGGTAAACTGATTGCTACATTAGAATGCCTCGACAGTGAAAACAGAAAAGTGATGTACAAATAAGTCAAACTGCTGGCAAGTTACAACACAGCAGAAACCACGGTTCCGCAAACGGTCCCTGAACTATCTGAACCATGACAGAAAGAGAAATGCCTTTCGGGTAAACTGAGATACAGTCCCTACTGCAAATTAACACCTTGATAGCTAGGTTTAAATATTGGTCTTTTAAGAGTGCTTGGTTAGTTCTTAGAGACAGCTTAATATTTAGAACTCTGTCAAGTGTACTTTGGGGTTACGTAAACGGAGGGCAGACCTTAGAAAATTGCTGCCATGAAAAAATGCTATCACTCGCCCAAACTCAGATACTGGAATGATTGAATTATGTTGGAACATACAAGGACTGTAAAAATGTACCTTTTTTAAAGTTCTCTAATGCCTTTTCTCGATCGCTCTGTTCTCTATTGCCATGCAAAGACTCTACTGATATTTGTCGAAGAATCAGGTCACTTGATAAATGATCAGCACTGAAGCAAAGACAAGTGATTTTAAGTGCTTATCCTAATACCATCATCAGTTCACTAGTTAGTTTTATTTCTATTATAAAAAACTGAAATATTGCCTGACAGGCTATACCTAGTGTGAAACAAATTGATTTAATGATTATAATTTATATACAAGAAAATACACATACACTAAGAATCAACAAATGGGTTTGTAATCCCAGTATTTGGGAGGCTGAGGCAGGACGATCGCTGAGAATTTGAGGCCATCCTGAACTATACAGCAAGACCTTGTCTCAAACAAACAAACAAACAAACAAACTGAGATTGTATCAAATTAAATAGCTTCTATGCAGCAAACAACAGAATGAAGAGATAAGCTACAGACTGGGAAAAAACTCTGTCAACTACTCCTTGCAGAGGGCTATTATGTAGGATAGAGAACTCAGATGCTTCTCAAAAGAAGTGAAAATGGCCAATAGGTTCATGAAAATGTACAGCATTTTTGCCTATTAGAGAAATGCAAATAAAAAAATAACACTGAGATTCCATCTTACTCCTGATAGAATGGCCATCATCAAGAAATCAAACTGCTAGTGAGGTTGCAGGGAAAAGGAACCCTACTACATTGTTGTTGAGAACATAAACTAGTGCAGCCACTCTGGAAGTCAGTATGGCAATTCCTCAAAAGCCTAAAAGTAGCAACTCCATTTGACCCAGCTATTCCTCTTCTGGGTATCTTCCTCAAAAGTGTTAAAGTCAGCATATTACAGAGATCTATGCAAAGCTGTTTAGAGCAGCACAACTTACAAGAGTTAAATTAGGGAAGCAGTTCATATAGCCATTCACAGGTGAAAGCATGAAATAAAAATGCTAGATGGATACAATGGAGTCCTGCTCAGCCTTAAAGAAGGCATTTGTAGGAAAATGGATGAAACTTGGGAACATAACACTAAGTGAGCTAAATCAGAATGGGGGTTAAATATCACATGGTTTCTCTTATGTGAGAAATCCAAAATATAATTAATACAAAGAAGCATTATAAAATATAACTAAAAGCACAGGGATGTAGCTCAAGAAGTAGGAGGCCCTGAGTTCAATTTCTGGTACTAAAAAATAAAATAAAATTTAAAAATGTATTACAAAAAAATGTAACTAAGATAAAGGAGAGATGGTAGGAAACAGGGAGGTAGACTTACTGGAGATGGGGAGGGGACCTGGGGAAGGAGGAGGAGAGGGAGAGGGAAGAAGATAGAGGGGAAAGGGGAAAAAATCATTAAAATTCAGTATGTGTCTGTATGAATTACCCAAAATGAATGTAATTATATATTGCAAATATGTATTAATAAAAAAGGAATATAAAAAGGAATTAGAAGGCAAAAACATTTAATTATTCCTGCTTTAAAAAAATGGAAAATACTTACACTGCTTTTCTGCTCACAAAGACAATGACTTTGTCTTTAGGTGACATATTCTCTAGGAAAGTTTGGATATGAGTTCGTTTCTCTTCCTCTGTGGTGATGATGATATCTTGCTTCACTGTACTTACAGCCTAAAGGATTCAAAAGTCACAGCCCATCAACACGAGGGAAAGACTTCAGCATCAGCTCAAAATTCTGCTACCGCTGGGTAATGTTTTGCTAACCAAAAGGTAGAGGTCCTGGCCAAAAAATTACCTGTTTCTACCGAAGATTTATAGTCAGTCTTTCATTTTGTTTTTATCATTTATTACCTGCAAATTAAGCTAAGAATACTTGAATGCTCAGCAAAGTTTGCTGAAACAATTATCACTGCAGGAAAATGACCACAAGGTATCTCCAAACTTATCAAAGCTGCTATCTTGGATTCTGCTTATCACCCTGTCAATTAAGGCTGATCAGATTATGACAGGAGTCTCAGATCAGTGAAGATTCTGACAATTTAACTCAGAATTTCAAAATACTCTCAATGCTATTCCATTACCCATAATGAAATAAAATATTTGTCTCTTTCGATAAAATAGATTTTAGTTGCATTTGGTGAATGGGATAAAGTCAAGCATTCATGTTGGCTTCCCTATATGGCTAATAATCATTTTATGGAAATATTATCTGATCATCATCTGTACATTCCTTATGAAAGAATGGATTTTGAAAATGACCTACATATTTTTTCTTTTTTGCAGAACTGAGGATTTAACTCAGGGCCTTGTACCTGTTGGTGGTAATCACTCGACAAGTGAAGTACACTTCTAGATTTTGTGTGGGAGAAGTCTTGCTATGTAGTTCAGGCTGTCCTTGAACTCACTACATGGTGCTGGCTGGCCTGAACTCACAGCAACCTCAGCCTCCCAAGTGCTAGAATTATAGGCATGTGCCACCATGCTTGGTAGTGATCTACCCTATTAATGATTAAATAAAGGCCAATTTCACTTATTAATGATAAGAGTAGAAGGCTAACAGAAACATTTTTAATAGGTGTGTTAGACTAATAACATTTGAATTCAATGATCAGATGTAAATTCATAAAATGAGAACATTAGGCTTTCACATATTCACATGGATAGACTTCTGTTTATACTCTGACACTACAGAGCTGACAAAATATTAGAGGTTGATAAAATATTACACTGACTTGATGATATCTAGGGATTATTAAAATGTTAAATGTGACCAGGTTTGGTGATATATGCCTGTAATTCCTTGGGAAGCTGAAGCAGGAGGATCACTGTGAGTTTGAAGCTAACCTGGCTACATAGTGAGTTTAAGACCAGCCTAAACTATAGAGTAAGACTCTGTCTCAAACAAACAAATAAACAAAAGATAAAATATTAAATGTGACATAATGCTTCAGTTACATTAAAATGAACCTTACTGAGTGGGAAGAGCAGACAGGCCAAAATTAGGTATGTGCTTCATGAAGGGTTTTTTTGTTTGTTTCCTTTTTATCAGCACCGGGGATCAAACTCATGACTGCCTGCTTGCAAGGTAGGCGCTTATGCCGCTGAGCTAACCCCTCCCCCACTTCATGAAGGTTTTTGTTTGGAGAGACAGTACTGGGGACTGAACCAAGGGCCTGGTGCATGCTATCCATTACATACCTAACCCTTTAGCATGTGTTTTAAATACCATAAAAGTTTTAATAGTAATAAAGAACAAGCTTACAACTAGATCCAAAGTACCAACATACACAATCATTGGGTCTTTCAAGTAAGATTGTGCAAGTCGACGGACAGCACATGGCCAAGTAGCACTGGAAACAAAAGATACACGCCAATGTTACAATTCCTTATATGTTAGACATTACAGGTCAGTTTCATTAAAAAGTTTCTCAACCATACTAAGAAGAAATGTTTAAGTAAATTTATCAAATGTATTTAATAATAGGCTGTAGATTAAGGAGATCTATCCTTTGAACTATACTAATCTTTGAGAAGGTAATAAAAAGAACTAATGTTGAGCCTTGCATGGTGATGCATGCCTGTAATCCCAGCATTTAGGAGACTGAAGCAGGACAATCAAGAATTAGAGGACAGCCTGGGTTACACTCACATAGCAAGTTCAAGATTGGTCTGGACTACACAGTAAACCCTGTCTCAAAAAAACGAAGCCAAACACTAGTTCAGTTTTATCTCAACCTTTATAAAGACAAACAAACAAAAAACTAGTATTTTTATATGTTGTCAGTAGACAAAATCAAGTGCTTATGCCAAACACAAATGATTTTAAGTGTGCTGGTCAAATAAATTTAAATGTTTTTTCCACTGAATATAAAAGAATAAAAGTTATCATTTCTTTTTTTGCATTCATAACAATTACAATTAAATTAGACTTTTCTTTCTTTTCTGAGACACAGTCACACTATGTAATCTTTCAGGCAGGCTGACTCATTGTAGCCCAAGCTGGCCTTAAACTCACAGAGATTCCCCCTGCCTCAGCTTCCACTGGGAGCTGTGCCATCATACGGGGCTAACTTCACTTTTTTCAAATGGCAAGGTTACAGAAAATAGTTCAAATGGAGAGGGGAATGAAGGACAGGGGGGAAAGGAAAGAAGGAAAAGTAAAAAAAAATGAGAAGAGAAGGAAAAAAATGGAAGCAAGGCTTTTGTAAATGGGGAGGGAAAGAGGGGCTAAAGAGAGGGTAAGGGAATGGGAAAATCACGTTATATCATGTACAGTACAAACTATCTTATGATGAATGTGATCATATATATATATCTAAAATGTACCAATACAGTCTGATTTTAAAAAAGATTATAGGAAACAAAGTCAGAGGATTTAGTTTATTTCCTCCATTAAATACTACCCTTAATGCTATTGACGCCAGAGGCTATAAATGAAGGAAAAATTAGTCTTCGTGGATCACCCTACATTCAAGTAACAATCACTGGTTTTCCATTTTAACCTTGGGCAATAAAGTAGTATTCAGTTATCAAATGTTGAACTCTAAGAATTCAATGTAAGTTCTTTTCACGAGATGCAAGTGTTCCTATAGAAATCCCAGTCCAATCGCCAAGGAGAAAGTAGTCACTGTCATGGTCACACTGAGTCACTAACCGAATGCATGACAGTGTACCTCTCACCTAAGAATCTTAAAACATTTAAGTAATGCTCTAAATCACTGTGAAGAAGAGATTCTAATCCACTGACTTTCATTTGTATACCATAATTAGGCATACATATTACCTTGTCATAATAGTCTGTCTATCTGGGCGCACATCTAACAAAATCTTCATTATCTGAGGTTCAAATCCCATGTCCAACATCTTGTCAGCTTCATCTAAAACCTGCATTCACAATGGAGATTGTGGCCAATTAGATATGAAAGGTAGCTAACATGTACATTTTCCTAAAGAACATAACAATCATTTCCCCTTCTTTCTCCAGAGACAAAAATAATTAAGGTACTTGTAGTTATAAGGAACACAGGCTGTCTTTCCAATTGTTTCTAATGTATTTAATGAAAAATTTTAATAAATTAATTTAGACAAGGTCTTGCTATGCAGATCAGGCTGCCCTTGAGCTCACTTTGTAGCCCAGGCTGATCTCGAACTCACAACAATCTTCCTGACTCACGCTCCTGAGCACTGGATTATAGGTGTGCACCACCATGACTGGCTAATGAAGATTTTTCTAAATGTCTAAAAACATCCAAGTAGATTTTAATTCCTTTGTACTTGTTTATATTTCCCAATATTTACATTAACATGCCAAAGAGAATACAAACTGCTAGAGTTTAAAATTACTGTAAAATAGTCACACTAAAAAATTAGTCAGAGTTTGGTTTGTTTTCTCCCAGCATTCCAGACCCCTACTCCGTGATTACCAAGTAGGTTATACTTTTCAGGCAGACAAAGTTATTCATTTGCAGGTCATTCAGTCTTCCAGGAGTCGCAATGATGATGTCTACACCTTTTGAAACATCTTGTATTTGTCCACTTCTATCTCCACCGCCATATATACAGACACTTAGGAAAATCCAGAGGTTCATGTTTAGACAAAGAATGTGTGAAAATAACTGAAAATCTCAAACTAAGCATTTTGGGTAGGTAAGAAGAAATAAAAGAGTAACAGGTATGTTTAGCTTATCTTCTCTTTTCTGAGAACTAGTCACATCCATCAACCCATGGAGGTGTTCCCTAAAGAACTATTTTTATGTCATTTCTTGACCTGCTATCATGAGGCAACTGCTGATGGATCTGGCCCCTACTAAGCCATTCAGATTTTATTTTATTTATTTTTTGAGACAGGGTCTCACTACATAGTTCCAGCTTAATATGTTTTTAAACTCACTAGCCTTAAACTTGCAGTGATCTTCCTGTCTCTGTCTCCCGAGCGCTGGGATTGCAAGTGTGTACCACCGTGCCCAGATCATTTGGATTTTAGATATGGGAAAATAATGAAGGACACCTGAACTGAAACATCACATGGTATCCTACTATATACAACTTACATTACATGTATCAGTTAAAAATGAACTTATGGAGCTGGAGGTATAGTTCAGTGGTGGGACAGTTGCTTAGGATTCTGGATTTGATTCCAAGCACTAAAAAACTATATATATATATATATATATATATATATATGAATATATAATTATATATAAAGTAACATTAAATAACATATAAATATATATTACACAAATACATATATAAAATATATATCTCTATATGCACATACATTTTATAATACTGACAAAATGACAGAATAAATGACTTACCTTCTAAGATTTTTATATGAGTATTTAGAACATTCGGCTTCCACTTGAAGTGCCAATTCCCGAGTAGGTGTAAGGACTAACATGCCTGGTCCATTCCTTTTTTCTCTAGCTCTTTCGAGAGGAAACATTAAATTCAATTACCACCTCAGATGCACGGGCATCCAGTGGTAGATGTAGCAGTGAATATCAAAGTCAGACATTGTCACAGACATATTTGTAAATTCTGTGAGATGATTGAAGTTCCCTCAATATAATACAAGCTTGGCTTACTAGTATTGAAATATCTAGAAAATTAGCTGATGGTATGAAAGATTTTAAAATAATGTTTGACTATAAAAGAAAAACTTTTGAGCTGGTGAGAAATGCCTAGGAAAACATCTACACACTCAAAAAAAAATCTAATGCCATAAATATTGGCCTTTTCATTAATATTTTAAGTAAATGGCCAAATATTTTCTCAGTGAATAGAGAACAGCATTGAACATGATAATTTAAGCAATCTGAATCAAATGTTTCTATAATGTTTTTGGTAGATATTATGTATTGCTTCCTAATTCCTTTTTTTTTTTTTTTTTTTTTTGTCTTTTTGAGACAGGGTTTCACTCTGCAGTACAGATGCAGTACACTCTTGAGCTCATCTTGCAGCCCAGGCTGCTCTCAAACGTGCAGTGATACTCCTGTCCCAGCCTCCCGAGTGCTGGGATTACAGGTGTGTGTCACCATGCCCTGCTCCTAAAAATGTTTTTCCAATTTATATTTTCATCAGCACAGTGTGTGTGTTTCCTTGCATGCTGCCTGAGAAAAGCCCCCTCTGGACCAACACAATAGATGAAAGAAACTGAATTATGTTGTTGGTGTCTCTATGTATAAAATCCTTGTAATGAGAACCCAGCCAAAGGACTTCTTACATTGGTTGAGAGTTCAGATGAATAAATCCAGGCATTAAATACGACAGTGTCTTCCCTGTTCCAGTTTGTGCTACTCCAATAAGATCTATTCCTTGCAGAACTATTGGCCATGCTTGTGACTGAAAAAGAATGAGAAATCGTGTAACAAAAAGTACATTTCTCCTCACTATCTCTTTCTGTCCCTCTTCCCCAAGCTCCAAACTTCATTCAGCAAACACTGAGTACCTGGTACTGGTCAATGTAGGCGGTGGTGGGAGATCCCTTTCAGGAATGGACATTTGGGTTTTTGGGGGGTGGGAGTGGGTAAGGGGAGAATATTAGAATTAAGGAAAGCATACCTGAATTGGTGTTGGCTTTTGAAAACCTGCCATTTTAATGTTTTCCATAACTTCAGGGTAACACTGAAAGGCATCTTCAAATTTACAGGTTGGATTGGGGATAGGACGTTTCTCATTGTCTTTTAAGTCATCACATGTTATATTAAAATTTTCCTTCCTTGACAGAGAAATATAAGGATTAGTGTACTTTACTCTCCAAGAAAGATTTATTTTTTAAAAATCAGTACAGTTCTTAACTAGAAATTCAACTGCAACTGATTAAAATCAGTGTTAGGAAATTTATAGTGAAACATAGTAAAGGACAAAAACAGAGCTTTCCCCTGCTGAGAAGGGAAAGGGAAAATCAGAGGGAAGGGAAAATCAATTTCAATTATATGAATGGGGCAATGAAAGTTTTATGGATAAAAGATTATTAAAAATGGAATTCACAAATCATGTTTCATAATTCAAAGCATCTCAGCTGTTTACCTGAGAGCCTCCCATATTTTTTGTTTTTTGATACAGGGTCTCATTATGTAAGTTCAGAGTCAAGAGTGCATACCATTACACAATGGAACCCACTCAGGCCTAAACTTACTGTGAAACCCATGCTGGCCTCGAACTAGGATGATCCTCCGGCCTCAGCCTCCTGAGTACTGGGATTACAGGCATGTGCCACTACACCAGGCTCACATTTTCTTAATCCTTAATAACTGCATGAGGTAAGCATTATTCTCATTTAATAGCTGATCAGAAGACTGATTACTCATCCAAGGCTGAATCCTACTTAAATTCTCTTTCTGTTATATGCCATTCTTCTATATTTTTTTCTTAAGATTTTTTTTAAAAAATGCTTTTAGTTTCAGATAAGAATTAAAGAGTTTAAGAAATTATTGTAATATGGAAAACAGAACAACTCCTTTTACAATTTTCAACTATAATTCTCTAAAACAGTGCACATCTCACATCTCACTTTTTAAAAATTTAATTTAATTTTATTTTTTGTGATATTTGGGATTAAATTCAGGGCTTTGCATGTGCCAGGCAAGTATTCTACCATTGAACTACATCCTCTTGCCCTTTTAAAAATTTTGTTTTACAAGTAATCTAAAAATGATTTAAGTTATATAGAAGGGTGGAAGTCTATAAATACGTCTGAGACTTGAGCATATATATGAATATATGGGTATATATATATGTAAAGTTTTTGCTATGTCAATGTCTTTTCACATATTAATTAAAAACTTTTACTGAAGTTTCCTGAAAGATCTGAGATTGGCAAAAACAGTAAGTAGATAAAAATTTTGTTGTGAAACAGGGTCGCAGCTGAGGCTGAAATTTATGATCATTTTGCCTCAGCCTTGAGTAGCTGGGATTACAGGTCCAAGTCGCTGGGCCTGAATTATGCATGTGTGTCCTTAAATGTAAAATTGAAATATAGTCATGTGTCATTTAATGATGGGGACACATTCTGAGAAATGCTTGCATAAAGAAGTTATTTCTTTGTTGTACAAACCTCACAGTGACTTATACAAATTTAGGTATTCCGTCAATTGCATGGCCCTTTGATGTGACTGATGGACCAGATCATCATAGGATTAAGGCTGCTGCCACCACAGGACAGCACTGTTGTATAAAAAGACTTTTCTTTTTAGTATACTCTTTATATTAGGTATATTTTCTAAATTAAGAATTGTAAATACATACGTTCAAACATCTCCCATAAATATGAACCCCAGCGGGCAATACAAGGGTAATAAAAATGTTCCAGGTATGTTATGTGCATGTATAAATCTCTAGTGACACACATGAGTCTGTATAACCAATGTGCACTAATAAAAACAGATGTGAGAAAATAATTGTATTATATTCCTCAGTTTACACTAGCTACATGTTAGATGCTCAGTACCTATATATGGTCCCTCTGGACACAAACACAGACTATTTTCCATCACTGCAGTATGTTACTGGATACCAGTGCTCTAAAACAGACCACGATACAACCATGTTTTCATTTGAATAAACATGGATGGTGTATATAGTCTTCAAATGTGACCATTGCAAATCACTGCCCAAAGGGTTAACATTAATAACCAAAATATTTACTAAGATAAAAAAACAAAATAAAACAACAATGAAAGTACCAGCTGGGTACAACAAAAGTACCAGCTGGCCCGTGCCTGTAAACCCAGTATTCTGGGAGGATGAAGCAGAACGAAAGAAAGTTCGAGCTCAGCTTGGGCAACTCAGACTTTGACTCAAAAAATAAAAAAGGAATGGGACTATAGCTTAATGGGAAAGTCCTAGGTTCAATCTCCAGGTTCAGGAAAAAGATAAATAAGGAGAATGACCCACCTCCAGTTGTCTACTTGCACTTGTGACATTGCCTTTGTTGTTGCTGACTCTACATAAAAGTTTTTCTTAATTGGAGGTAAATCTGGGACAGAGATCAAAATCCAAACTTTGGTAAACAAAGAATTTATATTTCATTAACATTAAAGTAGCTACAGTATTAAATTGACTACGGCACAGTTTTAGACAGGTCTATACACTTTGTCACACAGACTTAGGCCAGTCCAAGTCATTGCCTTTTAATCTGTCTTTCAATCACATTTGTCCCTAGAAAAAAGGGTCTTCAATATTGAAATTTCAAATAAAGTAAAGCACACTTTACAAGATATGAAAGCTCTATATTTGATGTATCTGCCTTCATATATAATAGGCAGATTTTTTTCTTTTAAGGTCCCTACCATTACTTTCTTGTTTTTTGTTTGAGATAGGATGCGTTTACACAGCTGAGACTGGCCTTGAACTCACAATGTAGCCCAGGATGGCCTCGAATTTATGGGAATCTTGTTTCATTTTCCTGAGTGCTGGGATTACAGGTATCTTCCCCCATGCTTAGCTAGGTCCCTACTATTACTTCTTAGGAATTAAATTTATATATTTATTCTATTCTTTGGGATAGTATTCTTAAATACTTATCACGCTTTTTACAAAGTGAAATTCTTTTCCTGGTGCCCTATACTAAATCTTCCCACATACATATTAGTGCACTAATTTTTTAATCTTAGGTAGAACATGCTATATTGCTCCCTCACTGACAGCCAAGATTAATGCTTCAACTTACTCCACCATATGTAATACAGCCTGAAGGAAATTTCATTTAAAATTCAAACAATAACTGTCTCAAGAACTGTTGCTCAGAAACAAGGCAAGGACTTCCATTCTCAGTGCTCTTAGTGTAGTTCCTGAAATTTCAGCTAGCACAATCAAGCCAGAAAAAAAGATGCAAATAGTGAAGAAATCAAATTATCTCATTTGCATATGATATGATCCTACACTGAGAAGAACCTAAACACTCCACCAAGAGACTTTTAGAGGTGATAAATGAATTCAGCAATGCAGCAGGGTATGAAATCAATATGAAAAAAATTAATAGTCTTACTCTGCACCAATAATGGAACAGCTAAAAAAGAAATCAGGAAAGTAATTCCACTCACAATAGCTTCAAAGACAAATGCCTAAGGATCAATCTAACCAAAGAGGTGAAAGACTTGTACAGTGAAAATTTCAGAACAACAAGAAAGAAGATATCAGGAGATGCAAAGACCTATCATGTTCAGTGACTGGCAGAATTAATATTGTTAAAGTGATCAACGTTACCAAGAGCAATGTAATCTCCATAGAAATTCCAATGACAGTCTTCACAAAACTAGAAAAACAATCCTAAAAATAAAATGGAAACACAAGAGACCCAGAATAGCCAAAGCAACCCTAAACAAAAACAAACAAACAAAAAAACAGCAGAGCTGGATGTGTCACATAACACCCAATTTTAAATTATACTACAAAGCCATTGTAACAGAAACAGCATGGGATAGTCCCAAACATATGGAATAGAGGACACAAAACAAACCTATACAACCACAGCCCTGAGATTCTGGACAAAGGAATCAAAACTATATGCTAGAGAAAAGATAGCCTCTTAAACAAATGACACTGGAAAAACTGGGTATCTACATGTAGGAGACTGAAACTACATCATATATCTCACCTTGAACAAAAATCAAATTCAAAATAGATATAATTCAAAATAGATATAAGACCTAGCTATAAGACCTCAAACTCTGAAATTGTCAAAAGAACACTTGAAGCCACAGGCACAGGCAAAGACTTCCTCAGCAGGACTGTAATAGCATAGAAACAGTAAGGAAGAACAAAAAAACAGGACTATACACATTAAATTCAAAGTTTCTGCACAAGCTACATATATCAAATTCAAAGTTTCTGGGATTATAGGCATGTGGTGGCACATGCCTATAATCCCAGCATGCAGGAAGCTGAAGCAGGAGAATCACTGTGTTTTGAGGTCACATTTGGCCACATAGTGAGATCTTGTTTCAGAAAATCAAAAAAGGAAAAAAGTGTTTCTTCACATTAAGGGAAACTGAGTGAACAGATGATTTACAGAATGGGAGAAGATTGTTGCCAGTTATTCTTCCAACAGAGGATTAGTATTTAGAATATATAAAGAATAAAGAAAAACCCCACCAGCAAGCATGGTGGTGTGTACCTGTAATCCCAGGAAGCCGAGGCAGGAGGTGGTGTGTACCTGTAATCCTTAGGAAGCTGAGGCAGGAGGATCACCATGTCTTCAAGGCTAGCTTGGGCCACATAGTGAGTTCAAGGCCAGTAAGAACTATACAGCAAGACCCTATCTCAAAACCAGATCAAATTATACCAAACCATACCAAACCCACCAAAAACACAAAAAGCCCAATCAATAAATGGGGAACACTTCTTAAAAGAAGTACAAAAGCCTAATAAGTACACCAAAAAATGTTACACATCTTTAGCCATGAGGGAAATGAAAATCAAATCTCATCTAAGTCATCAAAAATACAAACAACAATGAACACTGGCAAGGATTCAGGCAAAAACGAACACTTGACACTGCTTTGGGAGAATTCCATCATTAAGGAAATCAGTATGGAGGATCCTCAAAAAACAAAAAAATAGAACTACCAAAAAGAAAAAAAAGAGCTACCCTTTGATCCAGATAGAACACAACTTGGCAATACCTGAGCCAATGAAACTCTCTGCACTACAGGGACACCTGCATACTCATGATTTCTGCAGCACAATTCCCAACACTGTACTAACATATGGAAACCTAGGTGTCCATCAACAGAAGAATCAACAATGGAGACATGGCATACATGCACAATGGAGTATTAGTGAGCCACAAAGAACAAGATTCTGGTTTGCAGGAAAATGGATGGATGTGGAGAGCACCGTGTTGAATGAAATAAGCCAGACTGAGAGACACAAATATCATTAGTTCTCTCTTCTATGTGAAATCTTAAAAAAGATGACAAGAAAGCAGAAGTAGGTAATACGGAGATAGATATGGGCAAAATATATTACACTTATTGAAACTTGCCCAAAAATGTGTAATGGGAGGGAGAGTGGGGCAAGATGGATGATAGGACACAGGCAAAAGTGATCAATGTGTATTATATGCATGTATGAATCTGCTAAAATAAAACCAAGTAACCTGAATATTCAATAAAAAAAATTTTAAAACTTCTTGCTTCTCAGGATTTAATGCGTCTCTCTTTCTGGGGGCCACTGCTAGCTATGTCAGTTTTTGATCAATCACAGCAAAAATGTTAACTTATGATTGGTATATTTATTTTCTTCACATTTCTTCCTTGGGCCTAATATTCTATTTTATCAGTATTTTGTAGTGAGTTATCTCAAATTTTAAGACAAGGTATAAATAAATTTAATAGTTTTCCACTTGAAAAATAAACCACAGGGTAAGTATAAATGATCATGATCTAAAGAATAAACAAATCATTTTTCTATTTTGCATTTTGATTATATTACTAAAAATCAGGCAGACATTAGAGAATACGAACTGAAGGTAAAAAACAATACTAACACCACATGTAAGTGTCAGGATACAGCACTGACCTGCCCACTTTTTTTTTTCCCATTTTGAAGCATCCTCTCGGATTTTATCCCAATTTATCAATGGCTGATATTCTGTAACATTATGATTTGAACTTACATCTCTTCCAACAGAAGGCTGGAATGCAACAATATCTGTTAAAAAAATTGTACCTAGTTAGTTTTACAATAAATCCTACCAGTATAAAATCCCCAAAGGCATGTTTTCTATTTTGTATTTATTAATAATCAGACAATAATTCTTGAAATATAAAATTTGACATTTTTGCTGCCTAGTGGATGAGGCCTTGGTTCAATCGTCAGCAAAACAAAACAAAACAAAACGAGGTGTGTTTACACTATGTTATCATGACATTCTGGTCATGGTTTTTGTTATTTTTTGACTTTAAAAATTTTAATTTATTGAAGAAGGAAAAAATAGCATGAAGAGCTTAGTGTACACTAAAATATTGTCATATTACTTAGTCTTGGTGGGTTTTTTGTTGTTGTTGTTTTGTTTTTCTGTATTTTTGAGACAGGGTTTTGCTATGCAGTTCAAGCTAGTCCTAACTTGCTTTGTAGCCCAGGTTGTCCTTAAACTCGCAGTAATCCTCCTGCCTCAGCCTCCCAGGTACTGGGATTACAGGTGTGTGCCACCATGCCCTGCATATTACTTAGTCTTGAGGCTAACAGATGAGAAAATGGAACCTTAGAGATTATGATTTCTTCTGAGAAATTCTTTTTTTTTGAAGGCAGTAAAATATAACAGAACAAGACGGAACAAAGCCAATTTAGACAGTGTAGTGAAATTGGTACACAACTTCATAGCAGGTTACTGAGATAACAGTAATAGGTACCACAGTATATCTCGTTATCTTCATAATAGTTGTTCTTTCAACCATGTATAGCAAAATAAAACAAAATACAGAACATTATAGAGCTTATCAAAACAGAATATTGAATAGAGTAATATAATTAATCACAATAAAACAAAAGAGTGGTAAAAATATTTGCCTTCAAAGAGATGATAGAAGGAAATCCCTCTTATTTGCTGTATTGCATATGGTCAACCTCCCAAGAGATGCTCAGATCTTTGGCTCCCATTTGCTAATGGGAGGGGAGGTGGAACGTTTGATTCTTAGCCTGTGCACCAGTAGTCTCACTACCACTTAGCAGTGAAGCAAGCTGGTTGCTTGGTTTCCCAGTGCCCTAAGTTCCAACATGGTGTAGGTCTCAGGAGATGCTGGTGGTTCTTACCCTGGGGCAACTGCAGCCTGCTACACCATAGCCGTTATCAGGGAGGTGAGCTGGTTGCTTGGTTTCCCAGTGCCCTCCCTTCTGAGAAATTCTAAGAAGCACCACTGTCATCTGAGCCAAAATGTTCTTTTTATTTTCATGTTGCATCTAGAATTTTTCTCTAAACAGATTTTTAAAATACTAGTTTTGAAGTCACTCCTGCCTTTAGTGAAGGAACAAGAGTCAGAAGCCCAGGACCAACCTTACCTTTAATAGTAAAGTGAGTGTAGTAAAGGGTCATTTGATTTTTCCTTACCTATGGCTGAAAGTTATACTGGGCTTAACCCTTATATTAAGTAGTCATGAATATTAACTAGCTGCAGTCTAAGGAAAGCAAATAATCTGGGCTTTCACTAGAAAAATAGTGTATGACCAGATTATAGAAATCTAGAGCTTTGTATCAAGAAAGGATTCCGGTATGGTGGCTTGTAACACTAAAAGAATTTTTTAAAATTTTAAAGGGCTTCAGTAGGCAAAATTTACTTACCAACTCTGTATTCAGGACTGTAATTTTCTTGTTCTTTAACAAAGTTATCTATCATTGTTTTTGCTTTTGTCTGCATTGCCTTGTTGCCAAAAATTTTGACTTCTGCCTCAGAATTTCCTTTTATTATCTATATATAAGGGGAAAAATAGGTGAGGATAAAGTCTCACACCCAACCATTCTTCAACTTCATATGTCATAAACATAAATGTAGTATTGCTGTCACGGTCTAATTTCTAGCTTGAGAGTGATGCTACTTCTTTTCATTGTGGGATGTATTTTCTGGTTGTTTGAGAAAGGAACAGGGTTATTTGTGAGCTTAAAAAATGTTTAGAAATTAAATTGAGACAATCCTGTCAGAGGAAAAACTAATATTGGTTCATTAATACTAACCCAAGAATCTCCAATCCTAGGACTACAGACTGGTACCAACCCAAAGCTTATTAGGAATTGAGAAGCAAAGCAGGAAGTGAGCAGCAGGTAAACTAAGCCTAATTTGTATTCACAGCTGGTCCTGTTGCTCCCATTACTAAACTCTGCCCTCTGCCAGGTCAGCAGAGCCATTAGATTCTTAAAGAAGTGTCAACTCATAGATTGCATGCTCATCATTAGAATCTAATGTCTGATGACTCTAGGTGGAGCTAAAGCAGCGATGCTAGCACTGGGAAGAAGCAGCAAACACATTAACATTAGCAGAGAGGTCTGACTGGATAATAATAAATCAATTATAGGCAGACTCATCAAAATCCTATCACTGAGTGGGAAGTGACAGGGTGAATTTTGGTAGCAGACTTTTTAGTGGCAAGTGAGTTCATGTGCTTCAATTGCAGCTGGTAGAAGACTTCAAGTCAGAATCCAACACTTACTTTAGTCTGCATATGGCCACCCATTATTTTATTCACCAATTTCCATTCATGCATCTTTCCTGCACTGCACACTTGTCTCAATTTGGGTAAACTCACAAGCTAACACTGGTGTCCCCTTGTATGTAACTTTTGGAATGGCACTATTTATGTTGTATTATTGAGTACTGGAAATGTTTAACTTTTTTTCATTTGTACAGGGGCTCACAAAGAGTTTGTCTTAAATTTCAGAGACTTAGGACTTGGGACTTTTCAGCAATGCTGAAACTGCTAGGACTTTGGCAGCTCTTAAGAGATGGGCTAAATGCCTTCTACATAAAGGGGGCCAGGGCTGAAGTTATGGTTTATGTCTGGATGTGCCCCCAAAGCCTCATGCAGTCATAGAGGGGGGTGGGCTTTTCAGAGGTGGCTGAATCTAGAGTTTCTGATGATTCATGGTCCAATGCTGAAATTAAGAGTATGAGTGCTACACTCACTTTAGGGTGGGTAGCCTGCATACAATATGAGGGACAGAAAGAGGCCTTATCTGCTCCATTATTGCTTTTGCTGTTTTCTGCCACCATGAACTGTTGGCCATCTGCCATGTGCCACCCTGCCTCGAAGCCAATCAATTATGGACTGAAACCTCTATAGACCATGAGCTAAACAAACTTTTCAAAAAAAAAAAAAAAAAACCCTAACCCTAGCCAAAGTGCATGAAAATAAGTATCACTGGAGAACTTTTTTGAAAAGGGTGAAAGACCTACTGATAAGACAAATTGCCAACAGAAAGAAAGCTGCTTTTAAACGAAAGTATCAAGAGTACTGCTTATTTCATGGGTTTAATGCAACAGGTGATTCACATTTTCCAAGCCTCTTTGTATAATAATATATGGCGACCAGCTATCTAATGAAGCCATGAAATCTATCACGTGGAGACCAAGCATCCTGTATTAAAAGGCAAGCCTCTGGAGTTTTTCAGAGCAAAATAACTGAACATGAAGAACAGAAGCAATTATTGAAGGCCATTGCTTCATCAACTAGTCTGCACTGAGAGCATCATTCTTAGTGGCTAACTGCACTGTGAAAGCTAAGAAACCCTCTACCACTGAAGAGTTGATCTTGTCTGCCATTAAAGACATTTGTTATGAACTTTAGGAAACGCAGTTTGAAGGGTAACACACATTTCTCTTTGACCCATACCATAATTAGACAAACTGATAACTAATGAGTTATCACGGTATACAATCCAGGTTGTCTACTGACATTAACAAGACAACAATACATTATTTTGTGCCACGTTATCTTTTAGGAGGATGTGCACGAGGATATGTTTCTTGCACTTTAGTTGCCAGCCAACAGCTGCAGAACTATTCAAGTCTTTTAATGATTACATACCAGGAAAATGGAATTGGTCATTTTATGAAAATGGAATTGGTATATGCACAGATGGAGCAGCTGTCATGAGGATATGGCTTTCTGTTTTACTACTTTGGCCCAAGAGTAGTCTGAATGAGTCTACCCACCATGTCAGGCACACAGAAAAGAAATGCTGGCTAGCTGAAAAATACTACCTGATCTTAACAACGTTTTGTAGGACATTATTAAAATTATTATCTACAGAGCACATGCTGTTAACTCATGTCTGTCTATGGAGTTCTATGAGGAGATTGATCCAGAGCACAAATGTCCTCTCATACATAAAAGTTGGGACAGCTTTCTAAAGATAGCTCATTGGCCATAGTTTTTGAGTTATGAGAGCCACTTCAGTAATTTCATTTTTAAAAAATTCACCACAGGAAGGACATTAGAGTGACACAGAACAGATTGCAAAACTCGTTTACTTGTGCAACATATTCAACGTGCTCAACAAGCTCAATATGTCACTCCCAGGGAAAAATGACAACTGTGCTCAAGTTGGCAGATTAAGGTGGTTGTATTCAAAGCAAATTGAAATTGTACTGTGATTTTTTTTTTGTCTTTTTCCTTTTTATTGGTACCAGGGATTGAACTCATGACTGCCTGCTTGCAAGACAGATGCTTTATGCCGCTGAGCTAAATCCCCAGTCCCTGTACTGTGATTTTTGAGGTTTGGAACATTTGCAGAGATTTTGAAAGAGACTAACCCAGGACCTCTTTTTCCCCGTTGGTGCATAATAACCCATCTCAGCATTCAGAAAAGTTTGAACATTACTCCCAAAGAACCCTCCAAACTGGAAAGGAATGGATCTACAACCCTTTTAGGCCAGTTGAATCAACTTTGTGCTAGAAAAGGATTAACTGCTTGAGATTGCAAATGATGCGTTAAAAGTAAGTCTGAGACAACTTCAAATCTCCATACAAATGTGGATTGAAGGTAGAATATTTTTTGAGATTTCCACAAAAGCATGGAAAAGCTTGCATCCATTTCCAACATCCTATCTTTGTGAAGCAGGGTTTCACAGTGATAGCAACCGAAACGAGCTTATGGATTAGACTGGACATAAACACACAGTTTGGGTGTCACTGTCTCCTATCACACCTAGATGGGACTCTCTAGCTGGATGGGATTTCCCATGAGAAGGACAGGATACAAATGAGGCTAGCATAAAGAGAGGTGAGTATCACAGAAGAAAACCTGAGATTTCTGGTTTGAAAACTCAGTGACTGACGCTGTATACTTTTACTAACACTGGGAAAGTGGGAGTATGTCAAAGTTTAAAGCAAGCAGCTCAGGCAGGGAGTCATTTTGGGCATGATGAATGTCCCATTGAGATATTCTTAAATGAAGATTACATTTGAAGTATTTTCAGCTCTAAGGTTCACAGCAAAAACCACGGCTCTGGCAAACTCAGCAGTACGAGAACTTCAGCAACTCACAGCAGTATGTTAATAGCTAAACAGGAACTACAATTAGGTGAACTATGCTTAAGGGTTTAAGAGTATAGATGATTTACCTGTATTTTTGTATTTGTTGTACTTTGGATTTCTTTTATTTTTGATCCACCACGGCCTGTTGTTTTTTTAAAAAAGGAACATATAGTTGAAATCAATACACTGGATTTACCTACTTCCCTCAAAGAACTTTGTCTGTCTCATCTCTAAATCATTGTTAGAAAGACTCCAAAGTTTGAGGCAGGAAGATTGCAGTTCAAAGCCAACCTGGGCAATTTAGTGAGATCTTGTCTCAAAACAAAATTTAAAAGGAGAGGGAAAATAATTGCATGGACATTTTCCAAATGACGTACAAACAGCCAACAGGCAACTTCATTAATCAAGTAAATGCAGATTAAAACTGCAACAAGATACTCCTTTATACCTGTTAGGCTGGCCACTATTAAAGACAAATTTAACAAATGTTGGAGAAGATGAGAGGAAAATGAAACTCTTATGCACTGTTGCAATTTTAAAGTTATATAGTCACAATGGAAAACAGTATGGAAGTTCTTCAAAAAATGTTTTTAAATTACCATATAATATAGCAGACCCACTTGCGGGTATGTATCTGGAAGAATTCACCACAGAATGTCAAAGTGATATTTTGCATATCTGTGTTTGTAGAAGCATAATTCACAGTACTCAAGGCAGAAGCAAATCAAGCATAGTAGCACATGCCTGTAATCACAGCTACTCAGGAGGCTGGGGCAGGAGAATCTCAAGTTCAAAGCCAGCCTGGACAATTTACTTTAAAAACTTAAAGCTGTTGGTGGTAGATATAACTGGGGACATAGCTCAATGACAGAATGCCTCTGGATTCAATCCCCAGCACCACCAAAAAAAAAAAAAAAAAAAAAAAAAAAAAAGGAAAAAAGTAGAAGCAACCTCTTTCATCAAAAGTTAAGTGGATAAACACCATTTGGCACATATACAAAATAATGAAGTAATACCATTTTCAGCTTTTAAAATATATATATATAATATATATATATATATATAAATTGTACACAGTGCATCACACTTCATGTTATATTTTAAAATACATGATGTTTGTTTTATTCACATGTGCTGCTGAACTAAGCATCTATTCAGCTTTGAAAAGCAAATCCTGTCACATGCTACAAAATGGACTAAACTTGAGGGCATTAATGCTGAATAAGTCAATCATAAAAAATAATTACTTTAGCACTCTATAGTATCTAATATAATCAAATCCAGAATAGCAGTTTCCAGGAAGGGGTTCAGGGAGTTCTGTAGTGGGTATAGTTTTAGTCATGCAAGTTCTAGAGCTCTGAGCCACAACCTTGTGCTTACCATTAATACTGTATTGTACACTTAAAATTAATAAGGTGGTGCTGGCATCGTACAGTAATGGTAGAACTTTTGATTAACACCTGCTGTGCTGATCCCCTGGGGGGGAATAAACTTGTTGATTTACTACAATAAAAAACATAATTCAATGTCTGTAACCAGTAGCACTCTGGGAGGTGGAGGTAAGATGATTATAAGTTCTAGCCCAGCCTGGGTGAATTAGACCCTGTCTCAAAATTAAATATAAAGAAAGGGCTAGAGATGTAGCTCAATATGAAGGCCCTAAGTTCAATAATCAGCACTACCACTATTAAAAAAAAATTGGACCCGACGGTGGGTGTGAAGTTTAGTGCGGGTGTAAGACCCTAGCATTTATGGAAGCGTTAGATTTGCTTTTCAGCACAAAGTAAAGAAAAATAAAAAAACTGGACCCAAATGCAATATCAAATGAGGACCCTGTATCACAGTGCTATTATTTTACAGATGCTTAGTAGGTCCTGCGAACTGATTTTTACTGCAGACCTAGTGGCTCTTTTATGCAGGATCATTCTTCAGACCTTTGGTGCCTGAGCCTTGTGAGGGGCTTAGGAATTTCTGTATTGTCTAGCGATTAAGTGTTATAATGCACTATTTAACAGCAGCTTACAAAATCTGTTCATTTTCTCAGAGCAGGTTTTTAAAAAGCAAAAAATAAACTCTCGTAGATGAAAAAAAATCTTGTGATTCATACTATTTTTTTTTTTTTACAGTGCTAGAGATTGACCCGAGTGTGCTGAGTTCCATCCCTACTCCTTTTATTTTGAGACAGTGTTTTTCTAAGCCATCCAGGCTGGTCTAGACCTTGCCAGCCTCCTGCCTCTGCCTGCTAAATTACAGCCTGAACCATGGTGCCAGGCAATACTCAGTCTTAAGGGTAATATATTAATAATCATCCTAATATTGAAATGCATCTTTCTAAAAAAAGCCAATTTGTAAAACTCAACACATACAGGAAAAAAAAGATGCTGTATCGCAACAGATGAATTATCCTGTAATGAAAGTTAAACTAAAAGAAAGACATGGCTGATGCTCTGCATTGCCCTATGTTAATATCCTACATCCCTTTTTGGAATAACAGCTCTGGATGGTACTCACAGAATAAGAAACTGTTTTCAACACTTTTGTTGTTCTTTGGTAGTAAACTGTCAAAAACAAAACAAAACAAAAAAACCCAAAAACCAAAAACCAAAACAAAACAAAAAACCAAAAAACAAAAGACACAAACCCCCAAAAGAAAAACAAAACCCCTTATCTTTTAGCATCCCTTTTAATCCTAAAAATTTCACCAGTTTTTAGGCGTTTCACTCTCTAAAACACTTTATAAACATCAAAAGATAGATTAAATGATACTCTGGCACCAGAAGGTCTCGTACATGGCCCGGGTGGAGACTTGGGGTATAGCCAGGTGGCAGCCGCCCCTGGAGTCAGGCGCTAGAGGGTCCCGGCCCGCCCACGCCCGGCCCTGCTCACCGACCACTGCGCCCACCAGGTCGCTCTTCACAGCGAAGCAGAGCGGCGGTTCCCGGTGACCACCGGCCACAGCCTCCGGGAGGCCAGCGGGCTCCCTCCAGCCACCCCCTCTGCCGCCCCGACGCCCTCTCCGACCTCTTCCATTCGGGCTTTCTGTCGGCCTCCTGTCTGAGGCCAGGCACACTGTCGAGCTTCCTCGCGAAGCCGCTACCCAAGTGGAGGCGTTGGCACCTGCTTCCCGCGTAGACATGGCTCTGTGAGGATTCGCGTGCGCCTCAGCTCACGTCCAGCCCCACTCCACCTAGTGGCGAAGAAATGGAATCACCTACAACGATGAGCGCGCAGACCCCGCTTAAGTAGCCTGCCCCAGACCGGCGCCTATTCTTGCTGCTCAGTCATTGGTCGGCGAGCTTTGTGGGCGGGACCTTCCCTGTTCGGCCAATCCGCTTTCTTAATCGTCGAAGGTTTTCCCGTGCTAAGTCACAAGGTTTCTTTTTAAGGCTGGCGTTTGTTTTTTGAACCTGGGCTTCTCTAAAGCTGTGGTCTTGCACCTGACTTATACTCCACCATCCTAAATTCCCCATATTACAGCGCCTTGGAAGCATTTATTTGTTTTCGGTACTAACGATTGCACCTGGGTGGGCTTTGAAACTAAGCTACATCCCTATGCTTGTACACCCAGCTCGCCATTGCTTTTGTCAAACATGGTTTTGCACAACTGCATAGACAGGGCTTGAATTTGCAATTCTCCTGGCTCAACAAATGAAACAACTCCCCACACTTGATCTGATCTTAGTTGAATGGGTTAAATAAATCACATCAGTTAACTATAGTAACTCTCTAAAGATGTGAATGAAGTACTATTGGTGTATCTAAGAAGTAGATAAAAATATCAAATAAATGTTGTATATTTACTTCCTATTTCTCTCTTAACTTTTTTTTTGCATTGGCGATCAAAACGGGGGGGGGGGTCCTGTAACACATCCCGGAGCCTTTTTTTTTTTTTTTTTTTTTTTTTTTTTTTTAAGTTGTGAGGCCGGGATCTTGCTAAATTGCCCAGGCTGAGTTTAAATTTATGATCCTCCTACCTCCGTCTCAGAGTAGCTGGGATTACAAGCCTTTCCAGTTTCTAAAGTTCCCAGTTGTAGCTTTCTTTTCTTTTAATATCTTTGCCTGGCATTGATAGTGGAGTAATGCTGGCCTCTTAGGTCTCTTTTAGTAAGTAGAGACAGAGGGACTATTTCCTAGTTTATTTTGAGTGCTCTCTGAAAGTAAACTTGAACTTTCAGTATTAGTGGTGCAGGAATGTATATTCATCCATTGAAACAAATGTAGCATTCTGGTGAGATATTGGTGGATCACACTATCTGTGATCAGGGGGCTGGTGAGTTAATGAGAATATCTCCTTCCACCTTGGCGTTGCTTTGATTTTAAAATTGGTTTTAAAAGTAATTTTAAAGAAAGCTTTTGGTTTTGTTTTGTGTTCAACTGGATCAGCCAATTCCTTCTGCTTTGGGCGACTGATTAGCAAATGACCAGATTTTATTACTGTTTTCTCCCAGGATGAGGATGGGAAGAAAAGGAATACCTAAAACCTCAGTTCTAAGTAATATAAACCTTTGTAGTTTTCTATATTTAATTTAAAAAAAAAAGATTCTTTTCCTTTTTTATTAGCACATGTTTATGATACATAGTAAATCCGTTTATCATGAAGAATAGGTAGAGAAAGTCATCATGGCTTCATCCTTTTTACTTCCCTTTCCTTCTCCCTGTTTATGTCTTCCCCAGATTGTACTTTTCTGTATTTAAACTTTTAACAAATAGAGAAAAGTCCACTTTTTCTATGGGAGTTCTGTGATAATCCCTTATCCTTGACACCAACCCAGTCTAGACTAATGTAGAAGGGCTTTCACAAAATGAGCTTTGAAACAAAACAAAACAACCCCGAATCCAAACCAAAACAAGCATAAACTCCATCCGTCTGCCACCTATTTCCCTTTTAGACACTCACTGAAAAGATCAGAAAACTCAGTGGAGAGCAAATGGCTCAGGGGGTCTTGTTTCTCATTTGTTATGGCTTGTGTCTAGATGTTCCCCAAAGCTTCATGTGGTCATAGATGGGGTTCTTCATAGGTGACTGTATCTAGGGTGTGTGATGCTGGGTTCAGGGATGTGATGCCAGAATTGATTCATCGTGTGATCCTAGAATCAAGGCTGCCCCACCTTGGCTGAGTGTTAACTCCCCTAAAGGTAGGTAGCCCGGTAGGATATAAGGCACAGAAAGAGGGTTGATGCTTCTTCCTTGTTGCTTGCTGCTTTCCTGCCTTCTGCTCACCATGAACTGTTTCTCCTTGGTGATGCCCCTCTGCCATGCCCCTGTGCCTTGGAACCAGCCAACTAAGAAGTGAAAGCTCTACGAACTGTCAGCTACAATAAACCTTTCCTCCTATAATTTTAGATGTTGGATATTTTGTCTCAGCAATGAAAAAAGTAACCAAGACACTGCCTTTGGGAAGAAAGGCTCCCACCTGCCTCTTCCTGCCAGACTGGAACCCCAGGGACTGACCCCTTGGGTCTGGCCAAGCTTCACCCCAAAGTGCCCTGAACTCCTGGTCAAGAAGTAGTTGGGGGTTCTGCGCTCAGTCAGCTTGGCTGTACCAGCATTTCCAGGTGACTCATAAATCTCTAGGTTCCACAGACCTACCATTTGCATGGCCTAGATGGGGTGTGGATTGCGTGGGGTATGGGGTGGGTATGCAGTGGGGTAAGGGTGGGGTGTGGCAGGGCTAAGGATGTGGTGATAGTTGTGGGTTGTAGGTTATGCAATATAGGGTGGGATATGGAGTATGGAGGTGGTGAGTGGGGTGTGATATGGGCTGGGTTATGATAGAGTTATTTCCAAAAGATGAAAAATATTAACAAAAGATGAGAAATATAAAATAAAAAGCGGCCTTTATTCTGAGAACACGGAGAGAGATGACCGGCACCCCACCGTTGGCGTCCGGCGATCTCTCCGGCGGACACGCGGCGTGGGGGCCTGTAAATAACCTCGGTTTGGGGTGGAACCTAAGGCGGGCATTAGGGATACACAGGTAGCCCATTGGTCCTAGGTTTGGCGCCATATGTAAATTCCCAGGGGCGGGAAGATGGCGTCACAGGTAACTTCCTAGGGGCAGGGTAAGATGGGGCTTCCTGCTTCCAGTTGTGGCTTTCCTGGCTACAGTGTCCTGTCTGGGCCAAACCTTTCAGGTTACAGGTGTGGGGTTTGTTATGTGAGATGTGTAGTGTGGGATGTGGTGAGTAGTGGGGGAGTTGATGTTTGATGTTGTGTGGGGGGTGCAATGGGAGCGGGGAGAGGCTTCCTCTGTTCTTGGAGAGCTAACACTGAGCTCATTGCCAGGAACCCACTTTCTTCCAGGATAGCCTGGTGCTCCAGACACTCCGATATTGAGTTGAACATTTTCCATCAGAATCCAGGCCAACACTTTGGGACTGGGGAACCCTGGTCATGGGAACACCCCTTTGGGATTCTCTTTCTCGTGTACCTGAAGCTGGCACTTTTTGATGGTATACCTATGATTTGCTGGGCTCTTTTCTCACTTAATCCTGAGAAACTCCTGCAGACATTGTGTTCCTGTTTCACAGTTGCAGATACTGAGTCTGAGTGCCTCTGCACTTGGGAAACCCCTGGGTGGGTGTGAAGCCATCACTTTCTGCTGTACCCAGAGGGCTCCTGGCAGGGGCTCGGGCCTGAGCAGAGAGAGAAACTTGCTGATTCTCCCTGAATTGAGGCAGCAACTGTGGCCTATGATTATTATAGAGAATATTGTAAACAGGCGTATTAGGCAGAAGACAGCAGGCTAGGCTGGGAGGGACTTGACCCTAGAGTCAAGATGAGCGGGGTCCTGGTCAGATTCACAGGAGCCTGAGATCAAGACTTAACAAGAACCAATTAAGTCCAGGATGGTGACAAGTGAGGTAATAATCAAGGTGATGTTGATGACTGTAACAACTTCTGCCACTATCTGGAAATGTTTTTTTCCCACTCACTTCGTTCTTTTAATAAACCTAGTCAAAAAGTCCCTTTGGTAACTCTCAGATCCCCTCCCAACTATCTGGAGCCATTTCTTTGTAATAAACACTCCTCTTTGTCTCCCTCTTTTGTACTTGATTTAATTCTTTAACTTCATCATATGCTGATTCAAGTTATGCTGTATCCAATAATTGTGGATTAATGTATTTATTGCATAAATATAGAGAAAATAAAATCATAACTTGAGATAAATTTATCCCTGCCAAGTTTTTTATAGGCAGATATCCATGATTCCACTGCATATTTAATTTTACACTTTGACTTTTTCTTTTAAATTTCATAAAGTAAGCGTTTCTCCAGAAGACTGAGGCAGAAGACTGGCCAGTTTAAGCTCAGACTGGGCATTTTAATGAGACACTATTTTAAAATAAAAATGAGACAGTACATCCTGTCTCCCCCGTTAAAGACCCCCAAATCCTAGTAGACCTGTCAAGCCTGCTTTTCTGAAAAAGTGCCAGACTCCTGATGGCATCCAAAGGCTCAACCCCAGAAGACAGTAGTCAGCAAGTGAAAGGAGATCCTTCTGGCAGGCAAAGGAGAAGGAGAGAGTGGAAGAGCTGCTCACTTCAGAGAAGTTCGAGGAGATAGAACTTACGCCAGAGACACTCAAGGTGCTGCACAGATGGAGGCAACCCTCCATGTGCTGAGTACCAATCTCTCTGAGTGAGACCCAAGGAAATCAGGGAGGCACTGAGAGCCAGGTGATCTTCTTAGACCTGGATTAACAGAGATTAAGCAGAAACCTGACAAAATCATGGGTGTTCTTAAAGTTTTGTTTGCAAGAGTGTTCGGAATTGAAAGAAAGATGGCAGACTCCACCTTTCTTGCTTTGTGTCCACCAAGGGTCCTGAGGGTTGTGTTGACCCTGGACCTGTTTTACACTGCACTTGCATCACATGCAAACCCACCCATCTGGTCACTTGAGCTTCCTCCTGCTTTTCCAGGTAATGATATTGAGCATGACTAGGAGATCTTTTAACTCTGGGTGGTGCTTCAGGGACATTGGGTATTACTGACTTTCTGGACTACCTATGGGAATTATGAACAGTATGTTTTGCTTTTTTTTTAAATAAAAGTTTTGCTATATCGTTCAGACTGGTCTTGAACTCACAGTGTAATCCAGGCTGGCCTCAAACTTGCAGTGATTCACCTGCCTCAGCCTCCGGAGTGCTGGGATTACAGGTGTGCCCTCCATGCTGGTCCAAACAGTTCTTATTGTTAAATTTCTTCTGGAAATACTAAGCCACTAGAGCCATACACATTAGCACTCAGCACATGACACTACAAG